ATATATATATATCTCTTTTATTAGAGGTTTAAATTTACTTACTCGAACACCTCTGATAACACGCCACCTATTACCCATGTGTCCAGGCATTTTAGTGCCAGGCATGACTCGGGCTTTCCCTCCACCTGACCCGATGTTTCCAGGTCGTCTGTGAGTTTTGGTCACGCCGTGACTGGCAGGCATCCCATGAAAGCCCCATCGTTTCATGACACCTTGGAATCCTCGATCAATCCTAATGGAATTCGCATGTTTCAACTTTTCGCAAGTTAAGATTAATATTAAATTTATGTGATTATTCTGTTTTTTTTCTAAAGCAACACATGTAGTACAATATAACAATATACAAAATTATTTACGTTTTCGCACGGATATCGACGACTTCCCCTGGTTTAAAATGTGTGGCGAATAAAGGAGTTCCTGGTTGTAATGCTGCTTCCGGTGATATTATAAATCTCCTTAGTACACGTTTTGGCATAACTCCAGCATCGTTAAAAATACCGTAATATTCTTTAGTAATCTACGTGCAAAAAGATACCGTCAGTTTTACATACCAGAATAGGAAAATTTATTAAATGTAACTTTTCAATTACGTACTATTTGCGGATCTATATTTTCTGCCCCTACTACGAGACATCCGCGTTTCTTTTTGACTTGTCTTGTGAGTACACGGCTTTTTATTGGAAAATATTTCTCCGGCGGTATGTATTTTACCACTTCGTTATCGACAACCTGGATTAAAGCATAGAATTATAGTTGCAGAATAAATGGGAATATTCAAATAAAAATAATAGTGGTGTTGCTTGCGTATTAAAAATCAAAGCTGGTCCATTTACCTGAAGCAACGTCGACGTGACCTTCTTTCCATTTTTCAACCATAACGGATAGACCCCTATTTTCTTGGCAATTAAACCAGTACGTTGCATATATTTCTTCCACTCTACAGTAGGCTCGATCGGATCTATTTTCAAAGGAGAAAGTTTCATTCCAAATCCGATAGTGGACGAGCCATGTTTATCTTGAACCACTTCGTCAAGAAACTGCTTATTATCTTCTGTTAGCCGCTCATTGTACAACTGCAAAAGTGTTTTTATATATAAATTTTGTACCATATATATATGAATATTCTCTGTACTCGAGTATCGCGTAAATAAGAATAAATTATTTGTATTACTGATTACGTACAACACGTTCTTGTTTTGGAAGCCACTCTGGATGACGGTATCTAGGTTTAGGTATATATTTTTTTGCGTCCCGTTTTGGGACAGATATCATGTCGATACTGCAAGTAAAAACACGAATTGTTATGAAGATTTATATATAAGTCTACATTTATTTGTTATATTAGTATGTTTTGTAGAAATATGTATAAGTATATTAGTACACAATTTAGTAAGTATACTCTTGAGTAAACTCTTTTCTTTATATAGTCTTAATTGCGTTATATTTGCAAGCTTGAAATAAATCAAGGCAATTGATGAAAGATTGCATCTTTAAAATGGTATTTTTGTTTATTTATTTAATAATAAAAATTTGTGTCGCACAGTGCTTTAAAAGAGTTCATACAAATTTCAATGAAACATCAGATATATGGGTCTAAATAATAGTTCCGCACGTGTGAGGCGGAGCAATTCTGTGTCCTGGGAAAGACGCTACGAAACGACAACAAACTGACGGCATACCTTTGTTTTAGGCATTTGTTAAAAAGTTGAAGTCCGTTAATCGTCTTTAGAAGCGATGTCATTGTTAGCGCATCAATCTCACAACTGTTTTTTCCAAATTTACAGATATAAAATAACTTAACCTAAAAAGGCAAACCGAAGACACGGTTTACACATCGAATTATAGGTTACAGATCGAATCGAAATGTCGACCAATCGCGCGTTTAGTATCCAAAGAACGCAGCAATGTGGCGGTCTTTACATTAGATTAGACACGCGATTGGTTAACGCCCCGGTGCACCCACATTGCGCGATTACGCGCGTCTGAACAGACCTTTAAAGCCACGTCGCTGTCGAATGCCGTTCGTTGTGATCGTTGTGATAGCGCCGTAAAATACACTTGTTATCAGATTGGTCTCTCTCGGTGGACCAATGAGAAGCTACCACGATTTAAGCTTTGCAGGCGTACTCAGATGATCGTGTAACGTCTGCTAGGATGGCAGGGTTAAAATTAAATTGGGTGTTATTAGTAAATTTAACAATATGCATTGTATTATCGATAGCTGGGTAAGTGAGGACAGTATTTTCTTTCGTGGCGCATTATGCACGACAGCCTTTTCCGAACGTTTTACTGGATGGCGAGTCTCATTAACCTGTTCCCTCATCCGTCCACTTGTCAGTTAAATTTGTATATTAAGTCACAGAGATTTGTACAACAATTCCCGAAATTGAACATAAAGATGCAAATATACGAGAAATTCTCTCATCTTTTTAATTTTATCAACTTTGGAAATTGTTACAGTTTGCTTAGTATATGTGTCTTTAGCTTGACAGGATTTCTTCTTAATTAAATAATGATTAACGTCTATTATGCGAAAGTAATGAAGTTTGTTCTAATTATTATTTCCTTTCTTTTTGCAGAAGAGATTTTTATAGCATATTAGGTTTATCACGTAGCGCTAGTACACACGCAATTAAGAAGGCTTACAGACGACTAGCAAAGGAACTGCATCCCGATAAGAATAAAGATGACCCAGATTCCTCTCAAAAGTTTCAAGACCTGGGTGCAGCGTACGAAGTTCTGTCAGACCCTGAGAAGAGAGAAATGTACGACAAGTGTGGGGAGGAATGCTTGAAGAAAGACGGCATGATGAACAATAATATGGATCCTTTCGCAAGTTTCTTTGGCGACATTAATTTCCATTTCGGTGGAGAATCTCATCAACAACAGCAAACTCCTAGAGGTTCAAACGTTGTGATGGACCTATATGTTACTTTAGAAGAATTATATAGCGGAAATTTTATCGAGGTAAAATTTCTCTTGCAACAAATGACACAAATAATATGTAACTTCTTCCTTTAATTTAATTTTACTACTATATAGATTACGAGAAATAAGCCAGTTGTAAAGACGGCGAAAGGGACAAGGAAGTGTAATTGTAGGCAGGAGTTAGTTACTCGCAATTTAGGAAATGGTAGATTCCAAATGATGCAACAATCCGTATGTTCGGAGTGTCCGAATGTGAAGTTGGTCAATGAGGAACGTATATTGGAGGTAGAAGTTGAGCCAGGAATGGTAGATAATCAAGAAACTAAATTTACTGCGGAAGGCGAACCACACATTGATGGAGAACCAGGAGATTTGATAATAAAGTGAGTAGATATTTTTTTATATTTATAAAAAAAATGTAGAATTATTTAAGACAAAGATAATTTTTGAAGCTTTAAAATAAATTGGAATGAAATAAATTTTTATCATATAGAACTTTATGTTCAAGAAATTCGGATTGATAAATTTTACTAAAGACTATTATTATGTTTTCTCCTGTATATGACAATGCCATTGTTTGTTTATTACCAAGATTAATATAACTCTATTATCGTGTGTACTAGTAATTCTAACTATCAATTTATACTGAACATAGCTGAATTTTGATCGAGTATACACGTATTTAATTGATTTTCGAAATTATTTTTTTTTGAAACTCGGAAAAAAGAATTTATTGTAGTATTTTGATTTATTTTGAGATGTAAAATTGTTTTCCTTTCTCTTAGTTTCAGTTCATCCTATATAAGCTTAATGCGGTTATATATTTACAATATAATTGTTTGTTGTAGGATACAAACTATACCTCATCCTATTTTCGAAAGAAAAGGCGACGATTTATATACAAATGTTACGATATCTTTGCAAGATGCCTTGTTAGGTTTCTCAGTAGAGATAAAACATTTAGATGGTCACAGTGTGATTATCCAGAGGGACAAAATTACTAAACATGGTGCACGTATTCGGAAAAAGGGCGAGGGAATGCCTAATTACGATAATAACAATCTCCATGGCGCTTTATACGTTACTTTTGATATTGCATTCCCCGATAACGACTTTACAGACGAACAAAAAGAAGGTAAGCCAAAATATTCTTTATCAATGTGCAAAATTTTATACCATATTATTGCATATTATTAAAAAAAAATAATCTTATTTATTTCAGATATAAAAAAATTACTGCAGCAAAGTTCTGTGAATCGAATATACAATGGTATAAATGGCAATTAAATATTTAAATGCAGTATATATGTACAAAGTGAGTGCGAAGTGTGTTTTGGTTGAAATGTATGTCATGACATTGTATGTTTGTATTAAGAGCGATATTCTTCCATCCTTACTAAAGAATACCAAGGGGGGTTGGTATCCAGTTGATCATACTGGATACATAAATTAAGTACACATGTAATTTTCTATACGAACTCATCACGTCATCAAATATGTTTTATTTAGATCCAAAAGACTGGTTAAACCTAGGTCTTGTTGCCAATTATTTAAATTAATATCTGATTCTCGTTGCCAATTACTTTTTGAACATCAAAAGTAATTAAGCAATTTATTTAATAACTTAAGTTATATTGCGTTTGGCTCAATCACATGCATAATATGGGAGAGATTGATGTGTGGATAGATTTTGCATTTAATATCACGAGATAAAAAAAGACCACGTATAAATTAACAAATTATTAATGATCGGCCACGTTTATATTATTATTATTAATAATGTAAAGTTGGCAAGTATCTCACATTGGCACATCTTGAAATTTCTTTGCGGTTGCAAAGAAGTTTTGAACATCAATAAATATATAATGAATATAGTACCATAATAAGATTAATAAACATACCATTTGTAGCCAATTTTTTAATTCAAATATATCTATGTATTTTAAGTGGCAATATCTTATATGTGTAATTTATTATAGCGTAACTATAATCTATTATTACAAAAAAAGCATGTTATTCTTTCTCTGTTCAGAAATTCCGAAAGAATAATCAGAAATAAATACATAAGCTATAGAATATGTTCTAATGTTTTATGAAACATATTGTCAGAGAAAATAGGCTATTTTGCCCATTTTCCGGTATAAAGTTTGCAGAAACACGTTAGATATAATTGCAATGATGAAACGAGTACATGATAACTTAATAATTAATTTTATTATTTATTCAGCCGCGATTGTGAAAGAATGGTTTAATGAAATACACCCATGAAAAATAGTAAAATATCTTTTTTATTTGTATAGAGAGTCGGCGGATTGGTCACTCAATTGATCGCCGTAATATGTCATTACATATCAAGTTTACAGATATTAAAAGTTTATTGGTTTAGCCTTAAGAACTGACGAGACAATCCGCATGATAAGTATAAGTGATTTTTATACAAATAATAGTAGATGAAATATATTTTCTTATCGAGTGCAAAGCAGTGATGTCACGCGAGCAAACAAGCAAGTGAACGAAGAAGAGAGAAACACGCGCAATAAGAAAGAGACGCAAAGCGAGCTCTTTAGGGCCAGTTCCACAAATGTCGGTTAACTCTTAACCTTAGGTTAACTTACTCTTCGTCTCTTTCTAAGGGGGACGTTAGAAAGAAACAAAGGATAAGTTAACCTGAGGTTAAGAGTTAACCGACATTTGTGGAACTGGCCCTTAGACAGCTCTACATCACGGAGGTAGTCTACCTTGGAAAATAAAAAAGTCGTTTTTTTTCTATGTAATTTTAAAGTTTAAAGTTCTCAAAATATAAAGTTTTCAGTCAAGTCAATCTTCGAAAAGTTAGTGAAACTACAGCGCGCGGATAGAATTTTACAATTTTGTTTCTCATAAGTTTTACTATCACGAAGTACTCTGCGAGTTCTATCTATATAAAGCAAAGTGATAAAAATATAACTTTTTGCAAAGGAAAAAAAAATTAGACACATTGTTACAAATTGTTTTCTTCGATAATGGAATGAAATGTAAATGATAATGTCTTTGTCACTTATAGAATCGTTCTTTTATCTAGTTTCTGTTGAAGAAAATGCGAAATTTTTATTGAAAATTGCCAAATATATATATCTATTAAAAAAAAAGAAGCGTTTATAGATATCGTTATATATATATTAAATTTTACAATTTCTTTATTTAAGAAATTAATTATTTATTTTGCCAAACATTCGAGACCTCAAATAAACTTCTTTTTTTCCTGCACGAGAGATATTGCGCACTATCGTCGTATTATTCTAATATTCGCAATACAATATTAACATTGTGCATAAATCGCTCTAAAACGTCTATTTTCGGTATCAAGCGTTATTGAAGTCCGCACTCACTCACTCTACGCGTCGTCGCTTATGATCGCGCGATACTTTCGACACTTTGCACGGTACTCCGGGCATTAATCTCGCGACGCAGCGCGTACTTAATTACACGGCGTTGAAAGAATTACGTCGGAGAAGCTACGAGATAATATGATCCATTCGACGCCCATCGGCACGTGCCGTTAACATATGATGTGAGAGCGGCGGCCGGCGACGTTAAAGCGCGGTCGTGCGCGCCGCGGTAAACACGTGTAGTGGGGGTAGAAGAGTGGTATCGAGGCGTGCTGACGTCACGCATACCGAACGCGCACCGTGCCTAGTCACTTGTAGCCCCCACTTCGTCCCTACCAGTCGTGTGGACGAGGAGCCGTTAGCCGCGGCGCGGAGCCCGCGACCCGCGCTACGTTCACGTCATACGCAGTTTCTTCCGCTTCTTCGGCGTAATCAGTCGTAATTTTTCCGTTGCCGTGTAACTACGTGTAAGTAGGCGCCGCGGCACGAGATTAATGTGCCGGGAGTGTCGTGCGGTGTTGAAAATATCGCGGAGATCGCGCGATCATAAGCGACGATATCGATCGATTTTCGTGAACGTCGCGAGTGAGTAGTGACGCGACGCTACGGTTGCTCTTGGCGAGTCCGCGAGTGAAGTTGGCCGTGCGATTTACGAAATTCCGCCATGTTCGACTACCTGCGAACGATTAATGCCGGGAGTGTCGTGCAAAGTGTCGGAAATATCGCGCGATCATAAGCGACGCGATCTTATCGTCGATTTTCGTGAAGTGAGTGAGTGAGTGAGTGAGTGAGTGCGTCAACCGGCCAACGGACCAACGCTGCAACGGAGAAGGACCTGGCGAACCGTGGAGAGGAGGAGGAGGCCTGGGGAGGCATCGGGCCCCGACGGAGCAACCTTGGGGTAAGTGTTATTTCTTATTTTTAAAATTAATAGTTCTTTTCTATTTAACGCGTCGATTTATCTCGGATAAGCAAGAAATAATTTGAGAATCCGAAATTTTATCTAAAATTTTACAAAAGTTTGTTCTCATAAAGGTTTTAGGAAATAGGTAAATTATATATTAGTAAATCTAATTAAAAGACGACGTAGATGTGTGTAAAAATTATTTTTTGAAACATTGATTATTTTGAGCGTCTATTTAATATGAATCTTTCATTTTTGTGTTACAGAATCATCGGAGCTACGTGGCTGACTAACTCCGTCCGTTGCGCATCGGTCGGTGAGTGACTTTTTTTATATATAATGGGGTGATGAATATGTGACAAGTCGCATTTATCTGTATTATTAGATATGAGAATAATACATAAATATGCAACTAATATTCACAGATCCATCACCCTACTCTGTTATTATGCTAACTCAAGATAACTTG